GATAATTACACATTGGTCCCTGAACTTTCACTTTGCGTCATTTTAGTCTTTTTTCACGTCTTTTCTCCTGAATTTCACCATATTCATCGGTGTTCCCTACAATTCACAAATGTAACGAGATTAAATCACAGTTCAATCATTTTGCTCGTTATTAAGTTATGTTTGTGACCTAAATAAATGTGCAAAAATACACTTATCAACACACACCAAACATGAGTTACATAAGTTTGATTGACAACTGGACTTCAAATAAAAGAAAAACTTTCATCATTAGTTGGTTAGTTGATTATACAAATACAAACAGAAAACAATAATAATTTTTTTTTAAAGGGTCATAGTAGCAAATGGAAATGAAGATTAACACATGTTTGAATTTTACGAGATTTTTTTTTTTTTTTGGTTTTATGGCTTTTTTGGAAATTAAATTGTTCACCTTTTTTTTCTTTTGTTAAACTTTTTAAACAAAAAAATGAATATACAATGCTCAACTTGTGAATTTTTAAGTTTATGTGAACAAATAGGACGAGGAGGAGAGAAAAAAGCGGTAATATGTTCGAATGAAAATCTACTCTTATTTAGTGGATATTAAAAATTAAGTTCTTATTAGATTTTAATAAAGTTTAATGAAATGAGTGATTGAAAAGTTGTAAATTTTATAAAATATATGACAAAAATTAATTATTAATTTTGATTTTAATTAAAATCAAGATTTTAATTATCATGAAACAGGGTTTAGTATTATAAAAAAAAAAGGAGAAGAAAGTATTTGAACTAAAAATTGAACTATTTTCTTTTCTAGATAATCCTCCATGCTAATGCGGGTTCTAATAATGATCAAACCTGTTAAAGAAATCGTCACATTCTTACGGCACAAAAAGTCCAGCCAACTCGTTTTCCCTTTTCCTAGCACTATTTTCACTCGTTTAACAGTATTTTCAGTCGTTTAGTGATTTCTCTTTCACTCGTTTAAATGATACTTTTGGTGTAGTGATTAAATATTGATAATAAATTCGATCAAACATCAAGTCTATCGTTAGACGGCACAATGTTCATACAATGAAAAACTTTATAATTGTCACATATTTATCACCATATGTGTGTATTAATTCAACCAAATATTTACTTTCATTGGACTGGTGAATATTCGCATGAAATATATACACACAACCATCCTAATATTCTAAATAAATTAATTTAGGCAAGAGAAATTATTTTGGTAACATGTTGCTACAACTAATTTATTTAGAAAATTAGGGAAAAAACTTTAAGTACCAAGATTTGAAATTTAATTGTCCCATTTTTATTTTATTTTTCCTTTTCTTTTATTTTAATCAAAACAAGAAAAAATAATCTACTGGACATAGAACTAGCACTGGGAGTTACGGCACTGTGGCGCTACAAAGCTGGGATACTAGCGCTAGGACGCTATGCCTCAGCATTACGACTGCCATTTTGAACCATAATTTTTTGAAAATTTCTAAATTTCTTGAACCTTAGAGTTTTAAATTCACATCCAAAATTTAGAAAACTAAATTATGAATTTCAAACTTGAAATCCTTTCTTTAATCTCAATTGTTTAACATGAATTGTCTTTGATACTACTTGTGGAATTTTATGAAACTTAAATTTTATAAAATTTTATGAATTGCCAAGAGTTCCATGTAAAATCACCACGAAAATTAATTAATGCGAAACATACGTTAATTCATTTGTCAATAATTCCTTATTACTAGATCTTGATTTTGAATCTTGAATATTTGAAATCTACTAGAATATTTTCGCGTTTGACTTATTCACTTTTAATTTTGAATTTTGCCTCTTCTAATATTTTAATTCTCGTTCTTACTCGTGAGTATTGAATCTTCTTTTTCAATATGTTGTTGTCTTAGTTATTCTAGTGGTGATATGAAGAAGAAAGAATGAGAACTCACATATAAATAAGGGATCAAAACCCTATTTATATTTCTATATGTATGTCTGTGCATGAAGGAAACACAATCCTAATGGATTTAGCTTATACACATATAATCCGACCCATATTTTATTTAGATGCTCTAAGTCCAACAATTTAATTCTTTATTACACTTTAATTTTGAGCTTAACTTTAAAATAATATGGAAAAATTAGGCATAATACTCTAAAAAATTAACTAATTTGAATAATACCATATTAACTAATTAAATCATATAATTAGTGTAATTAATACGTTCTAGAATTATAGCACCACTCAAAACCCAAATCATTAGTTCCTATTCTAGAAAACGTTAAAATAGAAACCCTTCTCACTTACTACTTCATTTTTTCTCACCACATTCTCAACCGATTCCACTAGTTTTTTCTTTTGCAGAGTGTTTTTTCTTTTCAACTTTCCAAGCAGATTCTTTTGAATTAGTTACTCCATCTAGTGGCTGGTCAATGTCATCAGGGTATTTCAAATTGGAATATGCCCCATGTACGCAACGTCATCTCAGAACTTGTCAGGACATTCCATAGACTTTTGGTTTGGTCGTCCACGAGTTTGCTACTACAAATAATCGGAACATGGGATTTTGAAAGGCTTGTACGTAGTAGTTGAACTCTGATGTTTTTTAATTTATTTGATAAGTTTTATATTGAATTTTTGTGAGATATATAAACTTCAACGGAGCAATCCTGCAAATGTAAAAGAGTTACATGATTATTTGGCCAGCAATATTTCTCTCTCTCTCTCTTTTTTTTTTTTTTTTAAACTACGGTTCATGATTTGGACATTGTAAGCTCCTGTTGTAAACTTTATGTGAATGGTAGATGGCAAAGTAAAGAACGGGAATATGTTTCACCCTTTTTTTTCTTTCTTTTTTTTTTTTTTTCCCCCTTTTTTTTTTTTTTTTTTTTTTTTTTTTGGGGATGTTTGTCACTTTTTTTTTTCCCTTGAATTTCTGTCACTTTTTTTAGTTTATCACTTTAACAAATATCAATTTTTAATAAAAGTATGTCACTTTTTAAAATTATATGCCATTTTTATGTCGCTTTTTAATATAAAAGTGACACTTACTTTACAATGTATTTTTTACTTCAAAAATATTTTTTATATGATTTTTAAAAAGACATATAATTTTAGGGGTACTTTTGTAAGTTGTCCAAATACCATAATATATAATTAATTACATATATAAGTCCACGTGAAAATTAATAAACCCAATAAAATATTGCAACACCAGCAAAGTAGTCAATAAAAATTTTGAAGTTGTGCTTGGCTTGGAACTTTATTATCGATTAGTCTCTAAATTAATACTTCAATGATTAATAATCTCTAACATATAATAAAATATAATGAAACCATCAGCGTTCTATAGGCATAATTTAATATTTCTGCCATCTAATAATTGATACAAAATATAAATAAATTAAGTCTCGTTACTTAGAAAATCATCTAGACTAGCACTTTTCTTCCAGATTCTCCTGATCTGAAAATATATATTTTGAGGTACTTTATGACTATCATATGTGCGGGAAAGGTCAAGAAAAATACAACAAGGCACCAAAAAAAAGATTGAACCCCAATCTTGAGGGTCTCACTGTGTCACCCCTAGAGCATCACGAGGGAGGTAAATTACGGGATGTGCCCCAACAGGTCAGAGAATAAGAGCTTGTCCGTACATTAGTACCACAAAAAGTCCAATTTCATATCTCAAAAATCGAATCTTCACACTGCGTCTGTCAGCAAAATTGAGATTACCTCATTCCTATCTTTTGCACCACTAAATTATGCCTCGGGGACAAATACAACAGGACACCTAACTTTTATCTTTGTTGGACAAAGGAGGGTCTCATCCATATCTTCTTCGACTTATGAGCTGTAATCTGAGAGTTGTGTTAAGTGTTTATTAGTAAAATCATTATTTTTCTTTTAAAAACTTTACTATTATGTGAAAATTTATATTATTTAGAAGAATCGCAATCATTCTCAAACACAACCGTGTAAAGCGGGACAATCTAGAAGTAACAATCATTTATCAAATTGTGAAATTAAATGTCATTTTATGCTTTTAAGTTGATTAATGGTGATGATTTTGCTAGTTTGTTAAATAAATTTTATCATATGGATATTGGTTTGGACAAATAATGTTATATGGTGCTATTAGCCTATTACGTCCTTGTCTAATGCATTTAAAAATCAGATTTTTAGTAAGTTAAATGTGTGATTAAAAAATTGATAAACATTATGAATTTCATAAAATATGTGATTGAAATTAACTATTAAATTTGAAATTTTTATTAAATTTTTAACACACACCAAACATGAGTTACATAAGTTTGATTGACAACTGGACTACAAATAAAAGAAAAACTGTTATCATTAGTTGGCTAGTTGATTATACAAATACAAACAGAAAACAATAATAATTTTTTTTTAAAGGGTCATAGTAGCAAATGGAAATGAAGATTAACACATTTTTGAATTTTACGAGACATTTTTTTTTTTTGGGTATTATGGCTTTTTTGGAAATTAAATTGTTCACCTTTTTTTTTCTTTTGTTAAATTAAAAAAAAAATGAATATACAATGCTCAACTTGTGATTTTTAAGTGTATGTGAACAAATAGAGGTAATATGTTGGAATGGAAATCTACTCTTATTTAGTGGATATTAAAAATTAAGTTTTTATTAGATTTTAATAAAGTTTAATGAAATGAGTAATTGAAAAGTTGTAAATTTTATAAAATATATGACAAAAATTAATTATTAATTTTGATTTTAATTAAAATCAAGATTTTAATTATCATGAGACAGGGTTTAGTATTATAAAAAAAAAAAAAAAAAAGGAGAAGAAAGTATTTGAACTAAAAATTGAACTATTTTCTTTTCTAGATAATCCTCCATGCTAATCCGGGTTCTAATAATAATCAAAGCTGTTAAAGAAATCGTCAAATTCTTACGGCACAAAAAGTCAAGCCAACTCGTTTTCCCTTTTCCTAGCACTATTTTCACTCGTTTAACAGTATTTTCACTCGTTTAGTGATTTCTCTTTCACTCGTTTAGCTTGTACCTACGTTTCACTCGTTTAACCTCTTTCATTTTTTCTTCTTTCGGTGCTCTCGATTATATAACAACTTGCTCTCGAACAATTTCTGTCTGTTCTGTCAGCAGCGATCTTGGGATGATTTCCTGTGTTTTTAGTTAATTTTGATCTGCTATGAAGTATGAATGAATTGTAGACACAAATCTTTGTAAGCATTGTAGAATTAACAAGATTTGAAGAAACGGCTTCCGATTGACGAGAGATGGCTGGTAGTTCGCAGAACAATTCTCAATTAGGTGATTTCTCTTTTTTCTCTTTCCTGCCCCTCTTTTTTAAGCTGTTATTACGATTTTTTGTGTTGTTGTTGTTTTTTTATTTTATTTTAATTTTTTTATATTTATAGCTCAATTAAGCTTCACAATTTTCAAAAGTCACCATATATGCTTTTATCGTTATTTATCTGCACGAGTAGTGAGTAAGTGTGTTGCACGTTCTTACATATCTAATACATTATATGCATAATGTTGTTGAAATACTAAAATTATTTCAAAAAGTACTAATACTATCCTTAATTAATAAGAGATTTATAAATTTTTTGAATTGTCTGTTGAGAGGGCAAGAATTGTTATATTTAATATATAAATTTACAATTTTGAATACAAACCTCGACATAGCCCATTTCGATTTTCCTCTATTGCTTCGACATTCATGATGTAATCCGTAGATTTCGCATGTTTAGACAAAATTCTTCTTACCATCTTCAAGGGAAAAGGCCCACAAAATCTATAAAAATATAGGAAAAATAATGTTGCAAAATGATAATTCTCTTTATTTTGTCAATTTTGCAGCCTTCTAGCCTTGCTCTATTCACCAAATTACACATCACCACTACAAATAACATAATAAACATTCAAATTTAAGAAATTATTTTAACATTTTCTTGAATGATGATAGAAATCTAAAATATAGAGTGCAATTACAAATCAAAACACATAAATATTTTAACCAAAAAAAAAAAAAAAAAGATTTATTACTTTGACGTAACAAAATTCTTATCTGACTAGTTTGAATATAAATATGCTAAATCAAATTTAGATAGTAAAGTATATATAAATGTGAATATTAGAATACGAAAATCAAGAGGGTACATAGAATTAATACAAAAGGATAATCAAGAAGCTCATGAACATTGGTGGCTGGAATTGATTCACCAACTAGAATGTGAGTTTCATGATGGTGAAAATCAAAGTTTAAGATAATTGAATTAATGCTATTAATCAAATTTTAAAAAAACATTATTTAATTTCTATAAATGGTTATTTAAGGTCATCCTTTGAACTCCTTAAACAATATCCATTTTTTAATTTTATTTTGAATTAATGCTATTAATCAAATCAAAAGATTTTTTTATTTTTTTTTAATCTCAAAAGGGGAATTAAGGCCGTCATTTGAGTTTCTTAAACAACACTTGTTTTCCAATTTTATGTTGAATAGATTGAATGAGTTTTTATTTTTTTATTTTATTTCGAAAGAAAATTTAAGGCCATCCTTTGAGTTTCTTAAACAAAACATGTTTTTCAATTTTATGCTGAATAAATTGAATTAACATTGCTAATGAAAATTAATGTAATGTTAAAAAGATTAATTAGGGAATTATTGACAAATAGAAAAGAAAAAGAGATTTTTTAATTTCATGTTGAATAAACTGAATCAATATTATTAATTGATTATTAACAAAATGAAAATTAGATGAGTTTATATTGGGTTTGAAGTTAAATATGTAAATTGAGTTAATGCTATTAATAATAATTAATGTACTATTAAAAAGAGTAATTTAGGAAATTATTAACAAATGAAAAAGAAAATGGATTTTTTTTTATTTTGTGTTGAATAAACGAAATTAATGTTATTATTATTTATTAACAAAACCAAAATTAAATAAAGGTATATTTGGCATATAACTAAATCTGTAAGGTAAAATTGATATTTAAAAGTTTCAATTAATTATCAACAAAAGTAAAATTAAATAAGGGTATATTGGGCATATAACTAAATATGTAAGGTCAAAATTGGTATTCAAAAGTTCGTTCCCAATCCTTCCTTTTAATACATACATTGTGGATATGTATCTAAGTCTACGTATGCGTGATGTGATGTAGTAATTGTCTGAGGCAAAGGGCAACTGCCAACTCGTTAACACAAATTTTTATTGAAGAATAATTAGGCGCGTAAAATAATTAGCATAAAACAAAAACAATTATGAGAGGAAATTTTTGAAAGAGTGCAGTTTTAGAGTGAGAAAGTAACTTTGTCTAGCCTGGTTAGAAAAATTTCTGGAAGAAGAAATCAACGTGAAAGGATGAAAAAGTATTTTGATCTTTTTTGCTTAAGGAATAAGATTGCAATCCAGGTTCTTTCTGCCACATTCGGTTCTATACATAGCATCAGCCTGAATGGAATCAGAAAAAAATTCCGTGGTGGGTAAACCAGTTCATTCATGAGCCAGTCTTTTTCGAAATTAACTCTTTTAAGATAGTTATAATGTCTACATCATTAGAACAATAATTTATTTTGCTTTCATATCATTCTCCACTTGCCAACACACTTAATGCTGTTCTCATTGTAGCTCACTTGCTACACTTGTTTTTGATCATTGATTCATGATATTTATCAGTTTTAAACTTTTCAATGGCCTCATGTTAGATGTTGATTTTCCTGTCTAACCTGAATCTCATTTTCTGTATATTGTAACATTTTGTTGGTAAATCATTTTTATTATTTTATTTATTTATTTATTTTCATTGTTAGACACTACTTTGCGTTGCTCCTAAAATGTTGTAATTGTACAAAACATGCTCTAAACTGCCTTCAGTATTTGTGTGCTGCCGTGGGGAGAGCTAGAGAAAGAGCATTCAAAGTCATTGTATTCAGGGCAATGTTTCATTTAACCTTTTTTCGTTTAGCGTTTTTTTTGTGGAAATGTTCGCATTTACAAAATGTTTCATTTTTGTATCTTCTAAGTTAGTATTTCTCCATCATTAAAGACAAACACCAACATCATGATTTTCAACTTCCTAACTTCTTATTCATTCATATATTTTGTTTGGATTTGCATGTGTTTTTGAGTGAGGGCAATATCCCCCATTTAATGTGATGGAACATCCCCTATTTAATGAAATATTGGTTCATTGATTTTTGAATTTTCTCTCATTTAATAGTTGAGCATTGATGAATACAATTAATGCTGGAAAGAATGTATTCCTTCACCCTTGAAATGCTAAGACCGATTGTTCAAATCGGCAGTTGAAATGGCGACATGAAACTGTCGATTTTCACTGATGAAAGTCGATGAAACTCGACATTTCAGCCGTCGGAATGGATAGTTTTTTTTTTCGTATACTTTTTTCGTACTTCTGAATTGTATGCAGATAAATTTCGATATTATGATTGTGTCGTACGCTTATCATTGCTATCTTATATGTTCAGTTATATCAATTGATTTGAGATTCATGGTGTTGTACGGGGGAGATTTCGTAGAAGTGGATGACAAGTGGAAGTGGAAAGGAAATGAAACCACTTCACTCTTAGTTCCAAGTAATATCACTAAAGAAGAACTTGTGGAAAGATTGAAGGAGAAGCTTTGTATTTGTTCGTCCACACAAATCGAATTGAAGTTCAAAGTTCCGAATTGGAGTGTACCTCCGATGACAATAAAAGACAATAACGACTTGGATTTCTACATTCAATTTCATAAAGAAAATGAACTTTATGTTAGTCTTTGCAAAACAGAGGTGCCAAATGGTTTGCACACAGACAGGAATACAACCGCAGAAGATAATCCAGACAATCTCCTTCTAGGTCGGTATCTCCTCCATCTAGTTGAAAATAACAATTAAAATTTTAACAATCATGTCATCAATTCATAGTTTGTTTACTAGTGAAATCGTTGAGATTATTAACGAATCTGAATTTTAAATAATTAACACAAATACCTGACTCTAGATTTTCATCAACTCCTCGGTCGCATACAGCTCGTGCGGTTGTCGGGGTGCTGAAATTAGACTGGATCATGTATCTAGCTATGAAGTCCTTTAGACTGGATCACTTATAATGTTTACATCATTAGAACAATTTTTTATTTGCTTTCATTCTCCATTTGCCAACACACTGGATGCTGTTCTCCTTGTAGCTCACTTGCTACACTTGTTTTTTTATCATTGACTCGTGATAATTATCATTTTTCAACTTTTCAATGGCCTTATGTTAGATGCTGATTTCCTTGTCTAACTTTGAGTCTTATTTTCTGTATATTGTAGCACTAACATTTTGTTGGTAAATCATTTTTTTTCATTTTCATAGTTAGACACTACTTTGCGTTGCTCCTAAAATGTTGTTATTGCACAAAAGATGATCTAAACTGCCTTCAGTATTTGCGTGCTGCTCTTGGGAAGAGCTAGACAAAGAGCGGATCTTATTCAAAGCCATCATATTGAGGGATGAACCATCTAAGAGATACAAAGAATTTCATGATAATTGGGAACAATTAATTGATGGGCTAAACACCTGAACTGTCTTTGTATTTGTTTTTTGTCATTTGTCATGAATGATTAAGAATTTACCTTTTAAATGGACAGGCAATGTTATAAGTTGTGAAAGGATGCTTTCTTGAAATTCTCTCTGTGCAAGAAAACTCATGTGTGTATCAATTAACTGTTTTGCTAGTTTAATGCAGACACTGAACAAATACCCCTGGAACCACAACATCAGTGGCTGCGTGCTGCTGGAATTTATGACATTCTTCGAAATTACAAAAAGTTTATCTGTTCTCCAAGGCCTCCGAATAGACCCTCAAGTATGACTTCTAGTGCCTCCCCGTTAACTTAATAATGGTCAGGTTTGTGATGACTTTTGTCGGCCGTCAAACATGGTTAACACACACAAAAACACATGCATTGACATGTCTGTTTTGCCTTTTGTAATTGTAACTTTTAGTTGTTGTCACATATGCTATAAACGTGTTCCAATTCTTTTTAATACCAATATTTAGTGATGACCTGTAAAAATCTTAACTTTGAAGGTTTACTGGATTCAAATTAATAATGTTTTGACACGTTATTCACGAATTTGTGATCTGATTCTTTTGCATGGCATGAAAGGAGGTGTTGGCTAAATTTGCAATGAAATTACCTTACGTACAAATTTTTAAAGGTCAAAAAAAGTCGAAAGATGACCATTTATTTGATATCGCATCTTTCTGTGCTGCTTTATTCAATTACAGCCAATACTATAGGTGTTGTGGTGGTTCGCTTCTTATTATTATCTTTTTTTTTATACTGTGTTGTCATATTCTGTCTTCAACTGGACTCAATAACTTAGGACTGACTTTTCTGTCAGATGCATCTCTTTGTAGTTCTGTTTGTGTTTCTAAATGAGCAATGGAAGTCTAAAGTTAGATCTGCACAACATTGTTGAAAGATGTCTGTCTTCATCCAGTCCTGTATATGTTTTTCTTCAAATAAGAAAAAAAAGCTTTGTGACAGCTTTTCAATATTGTTTCTTTCTAGTTGATTTTGATTTTGTGCATGTTATTTTGATATATTGTCCCATGAAGGTGGTTCGCGATTTCTTTTTAACCGCACCAAGGTACAAAACTTCCGAGAAGATGGCCATAACTGGAGGAAGAAGAAAGATGGAAAAACTGTGAATGGGACTAATGAAAAGCTCAAGGTAGGTGCCAATTGATGTTGCTCTGCTTATGATTTTTCATTTTACTGGGAAAACCTAAAAAGATTCTTTTGAAGTGATCACCTTTCTAACTATATCAGACAAATCTGTTTTGAAAAATAAAAGCTAAATCAGATATAATAAGTCAGTCTTCTTGTAAATTATGTTGATGCTTCCACAATAATATATCTGGAAGCATATATCTTTTCAGGTTGGAGGTGAAGATAAATTACGTTGCTACTATGACCATGGAGAAGAAGACAAAAATTTTAAAAGGCGCATCTATTGGATGCTGGAAGAGTAAGTCTGGTTTTATTAAGTTTCATAATCTGAAAAATTTGTAACCATCAACTTGTGATAATTAGATAAAAAACACATAACAAATCCAGTAGCTCTTCTACTTTTCATTCTCAAGCTTTCCTGATCTTCACATTTCAGTCAAGAGGACTGCTGAACATCCAATGCTTAGAAAAGTTTACTTGCTTAACTTTCTAAGGCTGTTCGGTTCGATTAGTTTTAGACAATTTTCTGCCATTTACTGAATCATATATAGGTTGAACAATTTATGTGTTGACGTGGGAAAATTTTTAATCCTCCATAGTGAAATTTTCATCCAAATAAATGTCCACAGGTACTGGCCTTCTTTTCTGTCTTGTGGGTTGACTTAAATTAACAGCTGATCCACCATTTATTTATTAATATTGGAAATAGATTTTTTTTCCTTCCAATTTAATGATCCCAGGTCGATTATTTTATTTATTTTGTGTATGGCCTATATAAATGAGGTAATATCTAGGATATTGGTCCTTTTACGTACTGTCAATTACACTGATATATTTTTCTCTTCAGATTGATTGTAGTAGTAGATTGATTTAGTTTAGCTCTTATTCTACATTGTTAAATCTGGGAGAAATTACATATGTTCTTCATAAACGTGTATTACATATATATACACATAGAGAGGATGTTTCTTATAAGGAAATAATCCTGTCAAAATAAGAAATCAATCTAAACTTATGCACCTACCATATATAAACGTGTTATATATGTAAAGACTAAATTTAAACCTAAATTAATGCATAATTCCATAACATACATCAATTGACTTCAGAGACAAAAATAAATCTAGTAACATTGTCTCAGTAGGTTGAATCATTATGATAGTTGAACAATCCTTACTGTAGAAATTGCAGAGGGACACTGTTGATGGACTTTTGGATCTCTATGACATAGTGCAAAATCTTCATGTTTTATATCCACTTTTGGCTTCCAGAGTTTCAGTAAGAAACATAGGTGTAAATTTTTGGAAGGTGTCTTTTGGTATTAGTTCATAATTGGTGTTCCTTCTGGTCATTATGTCACTATGAGAGCAGACTGTTTGGATGATTTCTGTTGCTCTAGATCTTCGTGCTGTTTCTACTAGGTTGCAATAGCACAATCTTGTAATTCACTGGAGGGGAATTTAATTAATGGAAGGAAACTATAAAGAAAATAATGTTTTTGACTGAAGACTATTTATTACTGGCTTTAGTAATTATAGTTTATTAGATATTAGAATTTCCATGCAGAGTAATGCATTATTTTAGGAATCCTTAGACTATACACTATATTAAATATAAGGACTCCTTGTAAATCAGGTTAATTCTTTCTTTGAATGTATTTATGATCTAATTCATATATTTTTCTATAATTATATTTATTATAGGAACAATTTTGTTAAATTAGCCCTTGTCCTGCGTCAGGGATTGTAGATCATGTATGTGCATTTTCTCACCTACACTTGTGTTAAATTTGTTTGGCAACTGGATGTGCTAAAGTACTAAAATTGGCTTCATCTACTTGATTAGGTCGATGTAGAAAGTGGCTTTATGTGATCACAGTACTTGGGTTCATTTTTCATCCCCTCTACTTATTTTTCATCTTATTTGGAGGAGTCTGATTTCTTTTAATTGCTGGTTTCTGCTTCAGGGGGTTGTCTCACATAGTTCTTGTTCACTACCTGGAGGCAAAGGTAACGTCCTTGATTGACGAAACTTGCAAATGCACGGTATCGTAGACAAGTAATATAATGATAAATAAAGTATCATCCCGTTGAGATTATATGTACTTAGTCTAGTGTTAATAAATTCTAACTTTAATCGAATAACCAACTTTTGATTGTGAATTTATACTAATTAAACTAAATTAAATAATTATTCTAATGAGCAACTACCGACGCTTTTTATAAAATTAAGTTAAACATGCACTAAGACTTCGAATCCCCCTTGTTTATCCATTTAATAGCATTCAATACCATTACATATATAATTATTCTTGTTGATCAATGTTCCTAATTCATTTAATACTCTCTCTCTAGTAGAATTAAGTGACCTTCCTATATCTCTACGAAAATTCGAACAAGAAAGCATACATTAAAAACTTAGGACATTTATTGAAATCATGCAAGGCATAACTGTATATCTCTATTTTCTATTGAATCTCACAACAATTGTGATAACGTGCTATCTATCTTATTACTTTTCTTGATAATAATAAAAATCACACATCAATCCAGTTATTGATCATATCACACATATATCCAATTATTGATAAGGCAATTGAAAGGCATTTAATTCTACAACAGTCATCCAAGAATAAACATATATTGAACTTCAAAGTATTAAAATTGATAGTAAATTTCATAACAAAGGTTCATCTATGTTTTAGCGACTGAAGATTTAGCATAGCATTACAAAGTTACTAGAATTCATGTTTAGTTTAGAAGACATCACCCAGATTCTTGAGATGGGAAGAAAAAGAAGAGGAATCACGAATTCTTGAAGCTCTTCAATAGTTCTTGATTGATCTCTAGCTGCACTTCTGTCTTCTTAGCCCAAAGTCCAAGATGGAATGTTCAAAGGATTGAGTTCTTGTATCTTGTCTCTTGAATTCTCTCAAAAGATTAGTTATTTTGCCTCCTATATTGTATGATATGAGAATTATCTTGCAATGTTGGATGATGTTATGTAGTCAAAGAGGTTGAAATTTGGTCAAAATCCGTGTCTAAGATGGTTGCCATAAGGAGTTTTAATCAAAGGAGGAAATTGTCCCCGTCTGTCAGATTAATGCCATGAGATCGCTACGTGAAGTGGGTTGTGATCGCAATGTCCAGCTGGTTTAACATCTGCTTCTGCCAAATGATCGCAAGGAGTGATCTTTTGTTGTTCCGCAATTTGGTCCCCATCTTTTCTTCTAATTTCTTCTTGAGCCCTTTTCTCTTGCAAGTTCAGCCTTTAATCTTCTAATTTCATCCAATTCACTCCATATGGACTTCAATCATCATTCCTTGGTTAGAATCAACTTTTGGATATTTTCAATTTATTCTTCCTTTTTTGCCATTCTTTGGCTTAGTATCACTTCTTTTGATTAAAAGCCATCCAAACCCGAATATATCCTACAACAATCTATATTTCATGAAATTAAGTAGCAATCCAATCAATTTGACTTTCAAATATTCACTTTTGATGGCCTAGATATGTATAGAAATTACACCTATCAGTCCTTTATGCCTTGTCAGATCAGCTCATTATAACAGCTGTATTAGCACATCTTATCAAAAAATGTTGATCTTTGTGTAATCACCTCTTGGCTTAAAGTGCAAGAAAGTTGATATATGCTCAAAATCTCTACTTTGAACTAAATTATGTGAAAATCTTACAATCTGAGGATTCTGTTATTTAAACAATACTTACAATGAACTATAATCCGGCCTTGACTTGAATCTAGTCTTCATGTACGTTTCTTTCTCTGAATATTAGCATATGGCATCCTTTGTATTTTTTGGGCAGCTGCAAAGTTTATAAAATTCCTGAAATATTTGTTTTCTTTCAGGAAAACAGAACAAATTTCAATCGCGTTAGGGAGTCTGAAGTTATTCCTGATTCTCAAAAACCAAGAGAAAATATACGCAACTCCGAGGTTGACAGTTCTGTATTTTCAGAATCCCGAACATATAACTATGAAGGAACCTTGCAAGTTACGGATTCTTCTAACCACAACATTGCTCATGCTTCTGAGTTTAAAAATGCTGAATCAGGTTTTCTTGCTGTGCATTTCTTTCTTTTTCATTATACAGTATTACAATCCATGAAGCTGCATTGAAGTTTTTTTTTTTGTTTTCTGTAACTGAATTACTCTCAAAAATCATTTATATTCATAGTGATCGCTAAAAAAATTATATCTGCAGTACATTGTCAACAACAAAGTCCAGGATTCCAGCCTTGTGACAATGTATCGCAACCCATGGTAAAGAAGATGAGAGGTGGTTCAATTCCTTATTATGATGTCCCTATATCAGGTAATGTGCCATCATCCTTTTTTCCGGCTGTAGCATTAACAATTAGTGTCTGTTTGATTGCAAATATAGAATTTGGGTAGAAAGAAAACAAATTTCAGGAAATTGATTGGTATAATTTTTCACATGGAAAATGTTGAAATAAAAGTGTTTTTTAGTGTTTGTTTGGCTTTGTTTTATATGAAAATTGTTAATTAAAGGGATAAAATTTACTGGTATTGGGAATGAAATTTGTTTTTATTGCCAAAAAAAAAAATCATTTATATTTTGGTGCTCATTCGGCTTTGTTTTACATGGAAATTGTCAATTAAAGGAAAATATTTTTTTACAATTAGGGATAGAATTTGTTTCCATTGCCAAAAAAATTTAAAAAAAAAATGGAACAATAGCCTAGAAAACCAAGAAAAGTCCCCTTTTCAAGAAAATCAATTTCATGGAAAAAAAAAAACTATCAAAAAGCCAAAAAGTGAAAGTTGGAATTTGAATTCCATTTTCCATGGAAAATAATTGACTATCAAACAAGCCCTTAGATGATTTCACTTTCATGGTTAGTTGGACCATTTCTGTGGCAAAATCATTTTTGCCCTTTAGTTCAAAATTTTGGACATTAGTGGATATTGAATAAGTCCAAAAATGCATTTATGTGGCTGACTTCATGTTTGTTGGGATTGCGACTTGGTTATAATTTGAAAACAGATAAAAAATGAATAATTAAATTCTATTACTACATGAGCTTGCATATCAAAATTAAATATTAATACTAAAGAATGTAGCACAAAGGCATTATTAGACTGTGATAGTTAAAGTTAGACATTCATCCAATGTTGGACGGTGGAATATTTAATTTTGTACTTTTACATAGTTGATGATTATCCAAATGATTTTATATTGATAATGATTCCGTATTTCTGCAGATGATTGTCAAGGACAATGCTTAGATATTACTGTTCAAAATGTTGAATCAAATACACGAAGAGGAAAAAATAAAAACGTCATGGTCCAATCTTGGGAAAATGTTGTATATAGCAATACTGATGGCTTCCAAACGACCAATTTTCAGCCACTGTTTTCTTCAGCCCAAAGTTCAACTGGCATGATGCTTGGACATGAAAATGAATTGCTGGAGCATGTTGTTTCTGGTGCCATTGGTACAAGGCAAGAGTTTGGAAGCCATTCCAATTTCTGGGTACGGGTTGACATCACTTTTACATTTTCTATGCACCATAACTGATAGCATAGCAGCAGATGCAAATATTATAGCTTGAATGTGCCACGTTAGGACTAGATCGCTCTATCCACTGGCTTTTCCTCGATCCTCTTTGACATGGTACAAGTAGATGTTTGCTGTAGGAAATTGAGAATGGATCTTGGAGTTCTATAAGTGCATGGGTAGGATGGGTTTTCGTAACAGATGGAAAACAGTTTTGATAGGTTTAACTTGCTTAAGATGCTTCCATAATATGGTAGCTTTTATGTGGTCTTTAGAAGTTAAAACTCATCTTTAAACACCTATTCGCCTGTTCCTTAAAAAAATAGTTGAAAGAACTAGTTCAGAAGGTAGGATTCTTCCTATGTTATTCTAGTTTTTTGAAGTGGCCTCAGCAATTCTTGCCTCATCCCCTCGAAGTTTTTCAATCTAGTTCACGCGTTTCTTTAATCGTAAAATTTGGTGCTTTTGAGTTTCATAATCAATTGCATCTGGAAATACTTGTAGTTTTCTATGTCAATAAAAAATGCAGTGATATTTATCATGTTGTGACGTTGAGCTTCTATGCTACATCTTATGCACATAAAGTACAAAACAGTTTCTTTTCTTTTTTCTCTGGATTTTGAAATTAATCAGTCTTCTGAATGTGATTTTGTATGTGTATTATAATGGTCTACGAATCAGAAGTTGCATGGGAATTCCAGACATGATCCATACAGCAAGATTCATGATGTTAATAATGAGGAGCTGTACGACACCATGGGGCCTTGCAATACATATCCATCCAATCAAAATAAACACACTATGCGTAGTGATCATCGAAAGCAAGATGGCTTAGACGGGCTTCCAAGAGAAGGCCTGAAAATGCTTGGCAACTTTGACCGCTGGGAGAGTGAATTTGGAGATGTTACTGGTTCTCGGCGCTGCTCAGAGACAATTGATATTGAAGGTGGAAGTGATTCTTTTATATCTGCTCAAGTGCCGTTGGACAACAATATTCTGGACCGCTCTCCCTATAGAGACCCGCACTACTCGCACTTTATGCCTAGAAACTTCTTGAGCTCGCAGTATGATTTGTCAGGTTATAGTTTTGAAAACGAGGATGTGGATGTGGAGCCACAGATTGTACAAATTCGGGGACCTGGCCGAGCTAACCCTGTTTCCGGCCTCCCCCTACCACCGGCTCCGTGCCCACCACCACCACCACCACCACCACCACCGGCTCGGTGTTGCGCACCACGACCACGGGCTCCGTGTTGCCCACGACGACCACGGGCTCCGTGTTGCCCACCACGGGCTCCGTGTTGCCCACCACCACCACGGGCTCCGTGTTGCCCACCACGGGCTCCGTGCCCTGACGCGTATCCGTGCTCTGGCTTTCAGCGCTCTAACTTTCCTGCAGAAATGATGTCAGATAGCCCTCTTTTCCATTGCGAATTCCCACAAAAGACTGGAAGTGAACCGATGAGGACATTAGCCATTTTATTTATTTTTCTAGTTGGACTTAAAATATGTTTTGGATTCTTATTTATGTAATTGGGTTTGTATAAAGGGTTTGGCCCAAGTCCATTATCATTAGGGTTATATTTTTCTATTTAAACCGAATTTGTCATAAAATTGGGACAGTTGATGATTATGATGAATTGAGATAGGTTATGGCGTCTCCTACTTCTTCCTTCCCCTTAATTTATGCTTTTTCTCTGATTTCTCTCTGTTTTCTTCCCCCTTTTTTGATGCCCTCTTCTTTATCCTGCATCAACTTTGGTACTAGAGCAAAGTTGGGTAATATTTTTTCATCTGATCCATCAAATTTGCTTCAATTATTTTTCTTGAAATTTCCATCCATCTTCACAAATTCACGCACCTGACATGTCCATAATTGTGAATCATTAATCAGTTTCTCCAAAATCTTGGAGCAGTACAATAGAAAGAATTTGTTGTGGTAGCAGTTTCTTCTTTTTCTAGTTGCTTTCTTAGTCGAAAGTGTATAAAAAAAGAGTTGGAAAAAAAGGGTTACTGTTCACACTCGAAAATTTAGTTTGTGAATTTCTGTCAGTTTTTGAAGGGGAAAATTCATTTTTTTGCTGCGGTCTCAGATTTATTTTGCTGCCAAATAAGTATTGTGCTGCTGTACAAGCTCTAAACTACCAAGTCTAAACCACATCTCCAGCCCACCAATTTAAGCCCACATGATAAATTAGAGAAAATTAGGCCCATTACTCTAAAAAAAAATAACAGATTAGATTTATACCCTAAAAAAATAAAAATATTCTCACACCGTATTTAATACTTTCATCTCCTTCTTCCATATCACCACATCCACAAATCCCACCCCAATCACACCAGAACCTCAACCACTGTACCCCCATCTCCATTTTTCATAAAATCACATTTAAATTTTCTTTCTTCAACCTAAATTTCATAAATTCCTCCTCTTTCCAGTTCCTTGTATGCTTCACTAGCCAAAGTAATTGTCCTCTAAAATGGCTCCATTTTCACCCACAAATTCTAACAGGTAAATGAAGCAATTCCGTTATTTCGTCAATCATATACTATAGTTTGGATTTTTCTATTTCTATTATTTGTTGCTGAAAGGTTGTGGTACAATGATGCAATTGTGTGAGTTGACCAGCTGACTTTTTCCGTGTTATTTTTAAAGTGTTGGCTGGTTTGTTAAAAACGTGATTTCATCTTAAAACCGTGTTTCTTCTAATGGACGCCCATGATGATGCCATGTGTCAACCGCATGTCCATTGGATGGCTGACCATCTGGTGACTCATTTAAAAGGGAGCCCTAGGGTTGAGACGCGTGAATTTTTCTGGTTTTCTAGAGACTTCTCTCTACTCTGGCCATTCGAGTTTTTCTTTTCCTTCTCTCTGAAAATCAAAGATCTCATTTGATTTTCAACACTTTCTCAAATCGGTTTTTTGTAATCTTGAGTGATTCTTTATGAGAAATGGTGTGTGTTCTTGTGTGAACCTTTTTGTAAAGTGAGAAGATCGAATCTTTTGTGATCTTGGGTGATTTTGGTCTAAGTGAAACATCATGATTTCTAAGCCCTGGTTAAGATCAATTCTCGCAGTGGGTGGTTTCTGGAGATAGAAGCATTTATTCTTGGGAGATTCATCGATTGTTATTGCCTTAGGGCATTTTAATGAGATCTATTTTTCTTGTCTTTTGATCTCATATTACTGTACATTTTTATTGTTGTAATAGCTAATATTTTGGAATCTCCTCTTTACAGTGGTATCACAGTAGTTGGACGGAGATTCTTGGCTTTGATTCGTGTAGATCTGAAACTGCGACACTTATTTTAGCTAACTTTCGTTATTTCTTGAAACCTTATTGAAGGGATTTGGTGAGATTGTTCTGTTTTTTTTTTTCGATTAATACTAGGATTAATTTTATATACGCTGTAAGTTTGCTGCAACTGTGATTTAAACCCTTGATCTGCGACTGGCTGGGTAATTCCTCTGTCCAGAAACCCTAGAGTTGTCTGGAATCTGAGGGTTACCTCGACTTAAGTCAAGGGTCTCGATATTGATATACTGGTGTGATACTTATTGGTGTGTAATCTCAGATTCTCAGTTCTTGGTACTTAAATGTGATCTGTGTCAAGAAAAACACTCTGTGATTGCAAGACTTTGAACAATTCCTATGAAATAACTGAAGTTCCTTACAACTTGCGATTATTGTACTTGAGTTGGTTTAAGTTGTAAGTTTCTGTGAAGTGTCAACCTGATCTACATATATTGTGACTGCATTCCATTTTTTTTTTCTAAAATAATGACAGATGCAAAATTTGAATTGGATGTTTTTAATAGCAAAGGAGACTTCAGTCTTTGGCGCCAAAAAATGAGGGCAATTTTGTTACAAAAAAATGTGCTAAAGCTATTGATAAAACATGGCATGCTGATTTAGAAGAAACCAAGAAAACTAAACTTGATGAAACTGCCTGTAGTTCAATTTTTCTGCATTTATCTGACAATGTACTTAGAGAAATTGGTGAGACTAAGACTACTGCTGAGTTGTGAAAAAAGTTGGAAGATACATACTTGAACAATTCTATGCCTAATAAAGTGTGTTTTCCAAAACAGTTCTTTGGTTTTAAACTTAACCCATCCCTTGATCTTGAGGTTAAAATTGATAGATTTAACAAATTATCCCGTGACCTAGCCGACTGTGATGAGAAACTCTTAAAAGATCAGTTGGCTGTGATATTGTTAAATTCAATTGGTGATAAGTATAAAGATGTTAAAAGTGCCATTGAATATGGAAGGGAAACTCTAACAACAAATGTTATTATTAATGCTTTAAGGAATAAAGAGTAGAGTTAAAATCTGGTAAGAAAGAATCTATCAATTGGGAGAACTTGATGGCTAAGTTTAAGTCTAATCCTGAGACTGTGAACTTCAACAAGAAACATGGATACAAGAAAAAGGCAAATCCTAAGGATAAAATGAAAATGAAGACTAAAGGAAAGAAGTGTTTCTATTGTCTTGGTAGGGGTCATTTGATCAAAAATTGTCCCAAAAGACTTAGTGATTTGTAAAATAAATCAAAGGATGATGGTGGTGTAGCCTTAGCCTATAATAATGAGACTTTAATTGATGAAGTTTATGTAGTTGTAAATTGTCCACCTTGTCAAGAGTGGATTCTTGTTTTGGCTTGCACCTACCATATGTGTACAAATAAAGAATGGTTTATTGAGTTTGAAAATGTAATTGGTGGTAAGGTTTTAATGGGTAATCACATAACATGTCAAGTTAGGGGATAGGGACTATCACTTTGAAAGTAAAAGGACATAATGAACTGATTTTGGAAAAGACTGGATATGTTCCTGATTTATAATGAAATCTAATTTCCTTAGAGGTTCTAGATGACCTAAACTATGACATAGTCATTAATAAGGGATACATTAAAATCTTAAGGGGTTTATAAGTAATTATAGAAGCTCCTAAGAGACATGGACTATACATTTTACAAACTCGAAATTTTTTAGACTCCAGATCAGCAACAATCTCAGTCCAAAATGATAAGTTACAGACATAGCATAAAAGATTGGGCCATATTAGTGATAAATGGCTACAGATTTTGAAAAAACAAGGTGCCTTTAGAAATGATAACATAGAAAAACTCAGTTTTTGTGATTATTGCATTCTTGGAAAACATAATAGATAACCTTTCTTACCTGGAATGCATAAATCTGTGTCTATATTTGAATGTTTGCACGTTGATCTTTGGGGGCCAGCTTCTGTAACAACTCATTCTAGTTTTAAATACTTTCTGTCAATTATTGATGATTTTTCTAGAAAAGAATTGGACTTTTCTTTTAAAATCAAAATCTGACACTTTTAATGTTTTCAAAAATTGGAAAACTTTGATTGAGAACCAAACTCAGAAAAAGATTAAGGTCTTAAGGACAGATAATGGTTAGAAATTCTGCAATTTTGAATTTGATGATTTGCGCAAATCTTTTGGCATACTAAGACATAGAACAGTTGCACACACCCCACAACAAAATGGTTTGGCCAAGAGAATGAATAGAACAATTCTTGAAAAAGTGAGATGTATGCTTTTAAGTTCAGGCCTACCTAAGATTTTTTGGGGGAAAGCTATTAAAACTGTTAGTTATCTGATTAATAGAAGCCCTTCTAGTACTATACACTTCAAAACCCCTAAAGAGATGTGGGGTGAAAAACTAGTAGACTTCAGTAACTTGATGGTATTTGGTTGTGCAGCATTTGCACACCAATCTGAAGGAAAATTAGAACTTAGGGCTCTTAAATGTGTATTCTTAGGCTATGGTGAAGGGGTGGAGGGGTATAAGCTATGAGTAAGGGAAAACAAAGGCTATAAGATCATAATTAGTAGGAATGTGGTGTTTAATGAGAATGATTTGCCCTGTGTTAAATCTAAAAATCAAATTGAGACCTTAAGTCAGGATAAAAATGTGGAAAAGGGGGTTGAAATTGAGGTGGAGTAATCTGATGATGAAAATCATCAGAATACTACACAACCTGATGAGAGAAATGAGGAGATACCTGGTGATGGTGTTCCTAATAATGAATCTGAACCTGAATTAGAAACTGATTAGCCTTTAGACAATTATCAACTTGCTAGAGATAGGCAAAGAAGACAAATAAGGCCTCCTGTTAGGTTTGATGAAGATGTATCTTTGCTATCTTATCAAAGTATGATTGAGAATGAGCCTGAGTCCTTTGAGGAAGCCATAAATAGTAAAGACTCTAAGGAATGACTTGCAGTAGTGCAAGATGAAATGCAATCACTTAAAAAGAATAAAACTTGGGTTTTGGTAAAAAGACCAGAAGGAAAAAGGGTTGTTGACTGTAAATGGATTTTCAAAATTAAAAGAGGTGAACAAAGTGAAAATGATATGAGATACAAAACTAGACTGGTGGCAAAGGGCTTTACCTAAAAAAAGGAGTATATTTCAATGAAATCTTCTCATATGTTGTAAAATTCACTACTGTTAGGGTTATTTTGGCTTTAGCCACACAGTTTAATTAGGAGCTAGATCAATTAGATGTAAAAATAACTTTTTTAAAATGGTAATCTAGACGAAACCATTTACATGAAACAATCTAAAGGATTTGAGATAAATCGGAAATCTGACTTAGTTTGCCTTCTTAAAAAATCCCTTTATGACTTAAAACAAGCTTTA